TTATAATGCTATATCTTTCTGCTAGTACGAGTTCGGCTACTTTCTTCTTTTGTAGAAGTGTATTTATTGCTGCTATTCTAATAGCTTGTTCGACTATATTCCACATCTGGTCTATGTTTAGTTTTTCGAATTCTTCTGCCTACTATAGACTACTACTTTTTTTGTTATCTATATTGTAGTGAGTCTTTTCTTCTTCTTTGTTTTTCCTGTTCAGCTCTTTTATTTGTCTTTTAATTTCTTCTTCGAGCTTTATTTTGTATTTCTCCCAATCCTCTAAGATAGCCTTTTCTAGTTCAAGATTTAGTCGTTTTCTTTCTATTCTCTTTGTTTTTGCCTTGTTTCTTTTTCTTAAATTTATCTCTGTTTCTATTTTGAGAATAACTACCTTGTGATTATTTTTGGTTGTATAGATTATATCTTCTATTTTGCCTCAGATTATATTTCCTGTTCAGTATCTATCTATTTACAAAGTGTTAATTCTTGATTATATGTCTCTGTTGCTCTATGTCGCTAACTCCTCTTTTGGATTGGACTTCTTAAACCTATCTATAAAGCCTTTTGTTACTAGCTTCTTTATTATTTTCTTTTTTTTATTGGTTTTCTTTTTTATATTTTGTTCACAGAAGATGCTTAAGTTTGTATTAAAGTTCCCCATTATCACAAACCTTTGCTACTTCTTCTTTCTTTGAGTGTTTGTTCTTCTTGATATATATTTCATGATTGAAGTTTGTATTTCTTGGTCATTGGGTGCTACATATAATACTAACACGTTTACTTGAACTCCAAAGTCACATCTATAATATATGGATTTTCTTTGCTGACTTTGGTTATGTGTCTTTCCCATTGTTTGTCAAGAATTAAACCTATTCCTGACTCTTTCTTCTTGTTTTTATCTGCTGATAACCAAACTGCTATAAATTTTTTTTCCTTTCTGAGTATGAATTTACTCTCTTTTTCTGACAAATTCATCTCTACCAAACTTATTATATTGATTTTCTCATTCTCTATATAGTCTATAATTGATTCTAATTTGTTTTCTTTGTCTTAATCCTGTTTATATTATAAAATCTAATCCTAAACATGTTGAAAACTTGGTGTCTATCTTCTTTTTTATTTAATATTCTTGTTATAGAACAATGTTTACTAAAATCTTTCTGTAATCTCTTCTTCTTTCTCCTCACTCTTCTTTCATTATATAGTGTTTGTTTCTTTTTTCTTTCTCATTTTTTTTCAGTTTTTTGGGCTATGTTTTCTACCCTGACAGCCCTTTTTCTAAATTCAACTTTACCACCTTTTCAGGATCGTCTTGTGACTCTCTCTCTGTTTCTTGGGTTTCGTTCTAAATTCTTCAATCTTTTTAGAATTTCTATTAGTGTTGCTTCTATGCTTGGTGGCTTTGCTTCATCTTCATTTTTCTTTTCATAGAGCTCCTCTTCTTTGCTGTGACCTGCTTTTAATATTCTTAAGCTCTCTTTACTTGTAGTCTCTTTGGAACGTTCTTCTCTATATTCTTGTCTTCTGTTGTATTCTTGTTCTTTTCTTTCTCTTGTTTTGTTTCTTTCTCTTTCTTCTTTTTCATTTTGGCATGACTCTTCTGTCTCACTTGCAGTATCTGCTTCTTCTATATATAGGGCTTCCTATTCTAGTAGTCAGTTGTTATATCTTACCGTCTTTGTAGTTGCTTGATCTCTGTCTTCTTTATATTTAAAAGCTATGATTGCTACTGCTCTTTGTCTTCCATTACTATTACGTGATATGTAGACTGACTTGGCCCTTTATTTTTTAAGTTGTTGAATAAAAGAATCTCTGATGCATCTTTCGATAGTCCTTTTAGTTTTGCTATTATATTATTTTAACTATCTTTTTTTCTGAAGTCTTCTATTCCTAGTATGATTCTTGCTAGTTTTTTTTTAATCAGTATTGCTCAAGGGACTTCCTTGTTTAGTTCTTTTCTAATTTTTAGTATTACTAATATTTTCGAAAAGCTTCTTTTAATTTGTATTTCTTCTGTCTTTCCTAATTTCTTGCAGGCATGCTGTACTTCTTGTTGATTTATTTCTTTAGATAGGTCCTATACTGTTATATGTATTATTTTCTCGTTATCTTTTTCTGTACTTGACTCTTTATCTTCTGATTCTTTATTAGAAGCTTTCTTGTAGTTTCTTCTTTCTTTCTCGTAGTTCTTTTCTTTTTCCATTTTCTTTGATTCCTCTGCATTTAAGTTTTTCAGTACCATATTGTTTCTTTTTTTGGTTGTAGTATTTCTTCTAGTATTATTCTAAACCACTCATGATTCTTCTTTTCTATTTTCTCCATTATTTCTTTTCTTTCTGCTTTATAGTCAAAGGTGACTTCTACCCATTCGTTATAGTTCTTGAATACTTCATTAACTTCTTTCAAGTATCTGTTGCCAGCTAGCATTCCCTCTATCATTTTGATATGTTGTTCTCTATTATCTCCTAGTACATTATATGCTGGAATCTTGGTCTTATATTTTCCTATATTGCTGCAAGATCTTCTGCTTGGTGCTCACATACTTTGACTCAGTGAGATTTCTGTGATTATTATATCTTTTTTTTAAGTTCTTTATGTGGTTCTTGATAAATCTCCATTCTATTATAAGCTAACTATATATCGAGTTGTTTCTTTTTATTTGTCTTGTATTTCTTTTCTGTTTTTCTTTTCTTGTCCTCTTCGTCTAATAACCAAAAAATTTCTTTTTGTTTGACTAATGCCTGTTTCTGTTGCTTGGTTATTAATTCTAAGCTCTGTATTTGTCGTTGTATCTTATCTATATTAGTAGTCTTTGTTTGTACTAGTGCTTCTTCTTTTTCTTCTTCTTCTAAACATTGTTTTTTTTCTAGTATTGATGGTTTCACCTGTGAATTTTCTTTTACAATTTCTATTTTATTTTCTTTTCTTGTTATTTTTTTCAGACTTATGCTTGCCATATAGTCAATCAACCCAAGGTTTAATTTGGTCATCATGGCCTTTTCTCGCCAATTTTGTAAGACCTTGTCTGGAATATTATTTTTAACTGCTAGGAGTGCTTCTCTTACTTGTCCAAATAGTGATAATATTAAAACTGTTTTTTCATCTAATTTCTTTGCTACACAGATTGCTGCTATAATATTTATATCATCTGGTTCTTTTTCTTTAACTTCTTGTAAAGACCTGTAAAAGAATATACAGTTGATATATCTTAGTCTTGCATCTGCTCAGTATATAACTAGTCCTAATAAATCCATATTATATATATCTATCTCCCTCATATAAGATTTATGTAACTTGATTGTCTAACCTAATCTTTCTAGAATTGTCTGCTAAAGCATGTGTTTTATTGTTTATTTTAACCTTTCTAGAAAAGTCTGTTGCTACACATATTTGTTGTTTTCTTTATTTACATATTTGCTTGTTTGTTTTGTTTGTATTTGTATTACTGTTAATGATCTATACTTAGAGTTAGGTAATTCACCTACTTTTTACCAAAAATTTCTTCAGAAATTTTATTTTTCTTGGGTAACCTCCTTGTTGTAAATTCAATCTTGTTTGTTTTTAAATTGAATATCTGTTATTTTTGTTGCTCTTTCTTTTTTCTTAAAGCCTTGTTAGGTGTTTTCTATGGCCTTTGTTGAGTTTTCACTATTTTTGTTTTTAACTTGTTTGTGTATAAATGATTAACAGGAAAAATGTGTGATAGAAAAATTCTTTATATTGTTTACAAAGAATTTATATAATTAGTAAAATGTTTTTTAAAGATATCTTAAATACCACTAGACAAATTTTGATGATTTAACAACTATTAATGAGCTCTACAACTTTACTTAGAGATTCAAAGTTGTAATTAACTTAGTACAAAAAAAGCTTTTAAATGTAGGACAATTATGACTAATGAATTATCAATTAATCATTGATTAGCTAAAGATCATGTGATATTAATATGATATTTGTTTATAATCACACCTCTATACAATCACTAAAATAGAACTTGGTGATTATAGAAGGTTTAACTGTATATACAATTTTTAAAATCATAAAATACTACATTAGGGTCAGGTTTACAATTATAACAAGGCTTATTTTATACTAAAATTTTGCAAGGAATTTTTTTTACTAGTGCGCAGAAGAAGGTTGCATATAAGAAAAATTGAGTTACAGGCAGTTTTTTAAAAAACGCATGATTTTCACGTTACACCTGATCTTGTAATCTAATTGGTCAATTCGATGTCGATCAGTGAAACTCACTTGGATGATAAATTTATAAAATTTGAAATACAGTACGTATAAGAACGTGTTATAAGTACATGATAAATGATAACTACTGTATATTCAAAATATAACCAAATTTATTATATGCTTTTACGTAAATTCCTTGATGATCAAGTTTCGAAAAATTTTTGGTATTATATTACCTGCATTATGTTGACAAGGTTTATACTGTAACACGATCTTTAAGAGCCATAAAAAATTTCAAAAATTCTGATTCGTCATAACCAAGTTGTGGAAAGATCAACCTCTTATTATAACTGTATAACTGTATAACCATTATTTTATAATTATTTTATATAAATTCATTTCATATCGATTATTGAAAAGTCCAATATTAATTTAAAGCCCGAATATCTCTTTAATTTCCAAAAGAAATCAGAATACAATATAGACAATATAATAATAATAATAATAATAATATAATGATAATAATAAAGTAAATTGCGTCAATATATATATATTTTTTTTTCTTGATGATGGCATATGAATATAATTTTGTTATTATATATGATATATATGTATATAGAAGTTACAATGTATTAGGGTTTAAAAGATAAGTGTCGAAAGTATAAAAAAATTAAAGATATGATTAAGGAGACATGAATAAGATATAAATAGTACATTTTATGATTTTTTTTTCTTTTTCTTTTTCTTTTTTTTTTTTTTTCTAAAAAAAAAAAAAATTTAATCGAAATTATCGTTGTTGCGAAAAAAAATTATATATATATATATTAAGCAGTAGCAGTCGTTTCAGGTGCAGCTGGAGTGATTTCTGATTTTTCAGCGATATCATTTTCAGTCTTAGGTTCAGTACTGGGTTCAGTACTGGGTTCAGCACTTTCTTTGGAGGCATTAGCAGCTTCATCGATCGCTTCCTGTATACCTTCGCTATTGGAAACGTTTGTAACTTCAGGGAGCTCTTTTTTGTCAGTTGTTTCTTCTTCCGGAAGTTTATTAATGTGATCCTGGATTGCATTAACCCATTCGGATTGTTCATCTTCGCTTGGAGCCTGGAACTTGTAGATTTTTTTTGATGGAGTTTCAACTTCAAATTTTCTATTATCAGCCTTTCTGACCTGGCAATTCTTTTCTATTTTAATTTGTCTTTTTGTTTTACTATCTTTAAAGTAGTATAATATACCACCATGGAGCGCAAAGTATCGTTCTTCAGGACGCTTGAAGAAACTGTGAGATTCTTTATTTAATTTTCCTTGTTTGGTGGCGTCAGGATATTTTTCCGCTACTTCAGCCTGAACAAGTTCGAATTCATCATGCACAGTTTCCGATTCTTTTTCTTCACTTTGTGAGCCCGATCGCTTTTTTTGCATACTTATCCTATTATAAAAAAAAATATAAAAAAAAATGGTAAGATACCTTTTATAATTAAAAATTCGGATAATTCATTTATACCTCTTCCTCTTTTTGTCTTCTTCTGTTTCATCGTCTTTATGATCATCATCACCGGGAGCTTTCTCAGGTTTTTTCTTGAAGACACTAGTAATTCTACGACCCAAATTTGTAATCTTTTTGGTAGGTTCCTCTTTAGGTTTTTCAGGGGTTTCCTCATCTTTACTTGGTTCAGCACCAGTTTTTTGTTCTTCGGGAGCAGATTCGATAGCTTCAGGTTCTATAAAACATTAAGTATTACATTAAGTATTACATTAAGTATTATTTTTTGTAAGAATTAAAATAGGATGAAAGAAAATTTATACATACTATCAGAAGTTTCTGCCTCGGATGTGGTGGTTGTTTCAACAGTTTTTTCCTCTTTAGTCGTTTTAAAGGTGTTAGCAAATGCATTGAAAACGGGTTCAAATAAACTAGTACCCTTTTTCTTTTCTTCTTTAGTTTCTTCCTTGGTTTCATCTTTGATTTCATCTTTGGTTTCATCTTTGGTTTCATCTTTGGTTTCATCGGTAGGCTTGGTATCAGTAGCGATGGTATCTTCAGCGGCAGCAGGAGTATCACTAGTTCCAACATCCTTAGTTTCTTGAGGTATTTCTTTGTCTTTTGCACTTTCATCCTTTATCTCAGGGGTCTTTTCCTTTTTTGCAAATAGAGAAGGAAGATTGAAAAAACCACTTTTTGTTGACTTTGGAGATTTAGTAGGACCATCATCAGGTGAAACATCAGCAGTATTAACACCATCAGTATTGACAGTAATATTTTTGGACTCGGATTCATAAGTAGCAGCAGGTTCAGTGGTAGGTTCAGTAGCATTAGAAGTCTCAGGAGTAGCAGGAGTTTCAGGAGTCTTCCTTGGTCGAACAAAGTTGGGGAATATAGATCTGCGTTTTGAATCTAATTTTCCTTGTTTATCTTCACTATCGGAAAGGAGATCAGAATCAGAGATTGCACCAGTTTCCTTAACAATGAATTTACCCTTTACTAAAAAACATATATATACAAAGATAATTTATGATGAATAAATAATAAATACTTTATGATGAATAAATAATAAATACTTTTTACGCGTATTACATAACATACTAAATAGCATACTACATCGCATACTACATAGCATACAACATCGCATACTACATAGCATACAACATCGCATACTACATAGCATACATAGCATACATATATAAAATACGTAAAGGGACCTACCGAGTTGATCATAAATTTTTTTGTATTCCTCAGAAGCGTAGAGGGCATCAGTATCTTGTTCATTAGCTTGTTTAATTTCTTCACCAATGGTATGTACCCAACGTTTCTTCGCTTTTTCACTGAGAGCTTCCAAAATATGTTCTTTTTTATCTTGAGTAATTATTTTGAATTTGCCTGTACTTGTATTATCACTCTCAACAGTAGCACCCTTTAAGTTAATAATACCCGATGGTTCACGGGTTTTTTCATTCTTATAATAAAATAAAAGACCCTTGCCGGTTTGAGTAGCATGAGCAATATTGCAGAAATGTACTTTGTTGATTTCTTCGTATTGATTTGATTCCTTTTCTTTTTGTTCCTCTTTATCATCTTTGCACTCAGGAACATCAGATGCGGGAACATCAGATGCGGGAACATCAGATGCAGGAACATCAGATGCGGGAACGTCAGATGCGGGAACGTCAGATGCGGGAACGTCAGATGCAGGAACGTCAGATGCAGGAACATCAGATGCGGGAACATCAGATGCGGGAACGTCAGATGCGGGAACGTCAGATACAGGAACGTCAGATGCAGGAACATCAGTTTTTTCAGTTGTTTTTTCGGGCTCAGATGATGGTTTTGTGGGTTCAGATGAATGTTTTGTGGTCTCAGAAGAAGATTTTGTGGGAGGAGCTTTTGTAGGCACATCTTTTATGTTTTTCTTCCAATATACCGAAAAATTATCTTTAGGAATAGGTTCTTCACTCAATTCAAAATGTCGCTGATTTTTACCAAAAAGTATTTTATTTGGGTGGTGCTTATACAAATTTCCCTTATAGATAGGGTCAGGGGTCTCAGGTTCATTATCTTTAGAAACATTTTCCTTTACTGGTTCTTCAACTATCTTGGTTGTTTCAACCTCCTTTTTTTCTTCAGATACTATTTCAATAGTTCCAGTAGTTGTGGTAGTTACAACGGTTTCAGTAATAGTTTCAACTTTTTTCTCTTCAACTTTAACTTCAGCAGTTATTTCAGCGGTTTCAGTATTAGGATCGGCCATTATTGAATTTTTAGCGAAAAAATATCTAAAGTAAAAAAATATCTAAACTAAGAGAGAAAAAAACGGAATAATAGGAAAGAAAAGAAAAAAAATATATAGGCAGATAATAAACGGTAAATTTTATTCTTTGGTAAATTTTATTTTTTGGAAAAGAAAAAAAGCGGAGAGTTCTCTTTTTATTTTTATTAAAATTAATATATAAAAATAATAATTAATAATAATAATTTATAAATAAAAAACAGATAAAAGATATGAAAAGCCCACTTTTTTGACGGGAAAAGAAATATAGAGAGTTTTTATTTTCAAAAAAAAGGGGTGTGATAAGATGAAACCTTAGCAAAAGATAGACCAACTAAATAAAGAAGTTAGAGGTCATTAGGTGTTACACGAGAGATCAAGAAAATTTTTGTGTAAAGATATTCACAAGTTGATAAGCATTCAACATCACATTACATGTAGAAAGCTGATTATAGTCGTGTGATGAATTATTTATGGAAGCAATAAGTACAGTAAGTACAGAATATATAACTATTTACAGTATTGTAGTATATTCTACGAATAATTTACGAATAAAAAAATAGCATTAATAACTTAAGAAACACGAGATTTTTTTACTGGTAGCATGTTACAAATTATTATATATAATTATGCAATTCATTATTTGTGGTAATTTGTGTGTGGTGGATCAATTTAGAATCCGTATTGGTTTCAGTAAGTAAAGAACAGCAATTCCCGCAGTGTAACAAGATAAGTTCATCGATTACTTTGTATCGCCCGGTCCGAAGAAACCTAGCACCATACAAAGCTCTTTAAAATTATCTGCAATTAAAAGATTAAAAGAATTAAATATTACGGAAAAAATATTTTTTTTTAATTAGTTGAATTAGGTGAATTAGATGAATTAGTGGAATTAATTGATCATATACACAACATAAAGATTTACGGCTTTAGAAAATCTGTTATTTTTTTCACCTTTTTAATCTTTTAATGCTTTTAATGATTTTAATTGATTTTTTAATGATTTAATGATTTTAATGCTAACGCAAACCTAACACAAACCTAACACTAACCTAACACTAACCTAACACTAACCTAGCACTAACCTAACACTAACCACTGGAACTAATACGCAAACACCACGTAATAAGATACATAAGCTACATAAGCTACATAAGCAATATAAGCAGTATAAGCAATGAATGAACTGGTTTACAAAAAAAGAAATCTAATTTTTTCTTTTTTTTTTTTTTTTAACTTTAAACCACCAAATTAATATGCCAAATTAATATGCATGTATGAAAATCATTTGAAAATTATATAGCATACATTAACGTTAATTCCGTTAATTCCATAGTTCTAATATTTTCGCTAGTACGTACGTACCTATATGCTAACCAATGTCAATGTACAAATGTATAAATGTAATAATAGATATAATAAATGTACCAATGTTCGATAACAACACGTGAAATACAACCGACTACACACATAATGTAAAGAAAGGGTATGCGTTCGACCAATTGTCTGATTTCCCTCCAAAAAAAAAAATAAAAATAAAAATAAAAATAAAAATTAAAAATCAAATATGTAAAAATAAAAAAACGAATAAGTAATTTCTATATATATATACATATTCAATTATTTTCCTAATCTAGTCACGTCATGATTTGTTACATTTCTTTGAAAGACTAACGTATTTCTTGGTTTATTTCTTGGTTTAGAAATTTTAACAAAGCAAATAAAGAAATACATTAAGTCACCCTGCTTTGAAAATAAGTTTACTACTGATTTGTTTATACGTATGCAATTTGGTTTGCGAAACTCGTACGTACGTACGTACGTACGTACGTATCAGTTCTTTAAAGTTCTTTAATATTACCACTTCAAAATTACCACTTCAAATTACCATTTCAAACCGGGCTTTGTTCCGCATATATTTTTATCATCATGTATGCTATTCATCTAATCATCTATTCCATATCAATATAAAGATTTCTATATTTCATTTATTTCATTTGCATGAAATCAATAATCGTTACAAAATGATGACCTCTTTTTTCATCATCAAAAATGAGAGTATACACATGTACATATTGATATGAAATAGAACGAATCATTGAACCGGACGGTACATTCGTCATAAATACCTTGGCATATATGCGTGAAAGTCCTAAAATATCGGACCAATAATGAGTTATCATCTCCGACTATGAAACCATTAACAGTTTTTTTTGTATGCGTCTCCCTCTCTTTCCTAATATAGATGCGTGCTGAGGCATATATTTAACACATGTAAATCCGTGCGCCGGTGTGATGAAGTGCAATAATTATTTATCACGTCGGAGCATGTTTCTTGAATATCCGATTATTTATTATGTAAACAAACAACTAAACTAATTCGTAATTGCCATCATTTCCTTGTGCTTGAAATAATTGAAATAATATAAAAATAAAATTCTTTTTATAATATTATATTGTATATAATTTGCAACATTGAAAATAAATAAAATAAATATTGAAAATTATGCCAATTTGTATTGTAAATTCATATTGTAAATTCATATTATATTGTAAATTCATATTGTAAATTCATATTGTAAATACGTATTGTATATATAGTGAGATTATAGTCATAATCTAGAAGACTAGTAAGATTATAGTAAAATCGTACAAAATTAAAAATTAATTTTCTTTCCCATTATTCACAAAGTATGTCATCAGGATTAGGTAGTTGAATTATTTAGTAAAATTATAAAATTATAAAAAATTTGTCTTACTATATATATTATATATATTATTCTATATATACAGTATAATAATGATTTATAGAACAAGATTATTCATGTAATATTTGATTGATTAACGTTAAAAAAAGCTTAGTAATAAAAGAATGTGTTCCAATATTTTTTTAATGCTTTCATTATGCTTTTCATGATGCTTTTCATGTAAACAGATCATTTGCATATGGTTATTAAAAAAAAGAATCTGTACATACGCAAAACTCGTTTGCTCGGACCCACAAATCTTAATGATCGAATCCCTTTCACTCACACCCTATCATTGTTATAAATGATCGTCATGAATTCCCTCTCCCCGATTTACGGTTTTTCGTTACTGTATAATTTAGCCCATTTGTCCTTTCTTGGTTAGCTCTTTCTTAGTTAGTTTTTGATCATAAAACGCCTGCATCAGCCTTGCCTAGTCATTCTTTATCTGTCAGGTGAAGTCGCATCATTTTAGTCCTTTCCCCACATTCTATCTATGTACGAATAATAATTTTTCGTTTTGCCCTTTTTAGTTCTATATTTATACTTTTATGGCTTTATTATGAGCTCATAATGAGGAGTGATATTTAATGAGATCACTTATTATTTTGTTTCATTAGTGTAGCCTTTTTTTCTTGTTACATTGCTTTTCGTTTTTGGTAAAAATAATACCAATATCATCAAATATTAAATCTTATGACTTCAAATTTTCTCTCACGCCGATATTCTTTTACCAGCTGTTTGTTATAATACAATTAATAATAAATTCTTACGTATCGGTATTACGTATTATATTCTTTATTTCTTTTCTTTTTTAATCTCTGATTATCGTTTTAATTGCTTGTTACTTCGATTACTTAATGCTTCTTTAATTTCTTGCTCTAAATCAACGTCTATTATCAACTTCCGCTTTATCTATTATTATGAATTATTCGTGTTACGTTCTACATTTCTTTTTATTTTCCTTTTTTAAAAAAAATTTTTTATCCCTTTTTTATCTTACCTTGGATGTACCGCTCAATTTCGTAATCGGGAGATAATTTGCTGAATCGCTTTGTGATGATTGTTCGGAATTTGTTATAGAAAGATGTGCTTCTTTTGGATTATTTTGTCTAAAACATAATAATATCTATGATTATTACATGCATGCCTCCCTATTTAATTTTTCTATTTAATTTTCTATTTAATTTTTCTATTTAATTTTTTATTTTAATTTTTCTATTTAATTTTAAATACCTTAAAATGTATCTTTGTTCGGACTTTTTAAGTGTATGAACTGATGGTGTACTTCTGCTTTGCATCTTGATTTCTCTTCTGTCAAAGCTCGGTCCTTGGAACGTAAATCCTTGCTCCACTATTTCATTTGCTATTTCATTTGCTTCTTTCACGTGTAATTTGCTTTCTAATGTTTGCAATGTTTGCAATGTTTGCTGTGTTGGTGATTTAACCGTGGAATATTCTATTTCTTCTTGCTTTACAAATGTATTGTAATTTTTCGTCATTCTTGTACCACCAGTTGGCGCGCTTAAACATTGTTGACAATTGGCTATTTTTTGATTCTGTACATAGTATGTCATTATGATTATGTAAAAACTTGTCATTTTTCCTTAATTTTATCATCAAATAAAATTTCTTTTCATTTTTCCTTTCTTAATTTATCAAATAAAATTTCTTTTCATTTTTCCTTTCTTAATTTATCAAATGAAATTTCTTACTTCAAGAACATGTTCAAGCATTTGTTGATGAATGGTGAGCTCTCTCTTTAATTCTTCAACTTGCGCTGAAAACGATTGTTCTAATGACTTTGTGTTTTCTTCATGCTTCAAATTGATGTCTTGAATTATTTTAGGGTACAAGTCGCTTATTTGTTTGCTTATTTCTTCCCTAAATATGTCTTTTTTACGTATCAACTTTTTTTATTAAATTTTACTTTGTATATAAATAATCATCTATATTCGTACTTGATGTACCTATGTGATTTCCTCCACGTGAATTTTGTACTTCATTCGTGAGTGATGAACCGATTGTAGACATTTCTTCTTTTATAGTAATTATATTTTGTCTTAACACATGCTCGATATTGTCGATTTTGGCCATCAATTTATCGATTTCAACTGAGCGTGATATTAAATCTCGATTCATAAATCTTGTCTCAATTTTCCGCGTTGAAAAAGCTATACAACACGGAATTTCAGTTTCATCATGAGATGTGTTATGATCTACCACGTTTATTTG